ATGCTTATCTATTAATTACTAACAATTTTGTTTTATATTAGGTTTTGCTTTGGATTTTTTTCAAACGACTCAGTAAAAGGCACAGGCAATCATCTAAATTGTTTCAATGATCAGATAAATAACTAGGAGCAGCTTTATCTCCTTTTTATAGATGAGTATAAATGACTAGAGATATAATGAAGTAAAATGACTTTAAAAGGCCATCAGGGAGTCACGGACAGAAATAAGATTGTAATTCATTTTGATGTTACGTCAATACCAAAGAATGAACCACCAGAAGAGATTGAGTCTAAAATATTAAATACATTGAGTATTATAAAAGGCCTCTATAATTTTAACAGATTATTTTAATGTTCAATTAAAATGATTGTGCAGGGAAAAGAAGAGGAAGTGGCAGTATTTTCCTAGAAAAAAACATACCAGTTATCCTTCTATTACATTGTTTTCTCTATTTTAAAAACTGTAAGACTTGAAATATCCTGGAAAGGAGTTTATATCGGAGGAGAGTACTAACGAAGACTATGGTAGGGTCAAAGTCACAGCTGGAGTGAGTTTAAGTAACCTTGTCCCTTGCTCTGTCTACTCTCGCACAAAAATAAAATGATGGATGGTCATACTTAGGTTATCATTAAAATACTTTTTTTGCTATTCACGAGGTAACCTTCCACTTGTATCAACGATCATCAATTCTCTATTATTCACAGTGAAAGGAAAGGAACCTTAGTGTAGATCGTTTCAAAATCTTTTTATTTTGGAAAATTTAATTTTAAAAATGACCTGCTTTCCTGATTACATTTAGTGTCAGTTGGCATCCAGAGGAGGTAGCAGATATTTACACTCCTGTAGGCAAAAGTTGGGCTGGGGTTAATTAAAAAAAAAAAAAAAAGTCATGTATAATTTCAGAATGTGAGGAGCTCATCTACAGAAAATAGGGTGTATAGTTTATTTCAATGAGCGATTCCATGCATGTTTGTGTGTGCAAATAGATATAGCATTTTTATTAAAGAAAATACAAGTATTGGTGCTCTCTAACCAACTCCCTTAAGCTTCTGTTTCAATGTATTTTAAGCATTCTTTTTTCACCACATAGCTTCATCCAAACCACTGTCCTTCAAAGTCTAAGTTATATTAGAAAATCATAGAATCTCAATTTACGTTAAACCAGTTTCAGCTTCATTTTAGAGGCTCATGTCAGGAAGCTTATCTTTTAAAATAGAATTATTTTCCACAGTTCTACTCATAACATTTAAAAATATTTCAAAATCCTAAACATTGAGTTCAAATTAATATGCTTATCTCAAAAAGGTAAAGCAAGAAGTAAAGACTAAAAGAAGCAATTACAGACACAATTTCAAAAGGGTTTTCATTCCTACACGGGAAAAAAAAAAAATCATTGTGAATCGCAAAGGTAAATTGGTTTTATAAATTACTTTTTTTAAAATTTGTTTTTAAGATAGCCAGTAAAAGTTGATACCTCGAATTCCAGAGGTGATGTCAAGCAAAAGTGTGCTTAACTAGAATATATTTATCCATATGATATTGAAGATTTTGTTTAAAATTAACTTTGATTTAAAAAATTTGAAGTATTCCCTTTAGAAATTGAAATATATATATATTGACACATATATAGGTTAGTAACAGTCCTACAGCCTAATTTATCCCATATCCGTATATCTACATACACTACTTCTTCAACCCCATTAGCAACAGATGCAAACAGAAAGTCAAATTGAAACATTAATGTGAATAATTCAGCAAAATTATTTTTGCTACTTCTGAACCAACTCCCTGAATACTACCACATTCAACTATCTATGTTAGTTTCAGTCATAACTCACAGCTGTGTCTTTGAAAGAAAATCTAAGAACGAGAATTGTAACACCTTTAGAAAACAGTGTGTTTTTTCTGAAAGCCCTATAAATTGTTCCCAAAATTCAAAGGTACATTTTCTAGAAGCGATTTGCAAATAATCCATATTATTTGCAAATCACTTCTAGAAAATGCTAAAATAAGTAGAATTCCTATAAATAAGAATGTTTTCTTCATATGAAATCAGGCTATAGTGAATCAAGAAAATCTTGGGGCAAGTTTAGTCTCATTTTCACTTTTGTAGATTAATGAATTGCTAAATTTCTTCAATAATTTCTTCTACAATGGCAATAAATTTTAATTTGAATTCTATATCTCGAAAGTAAATCAGAAAAAATAGCCAATTTTCACTACAAAAAAGATCAAAAAACAAATTTCTAATACGCCTATTTGAAATTGCATCCTATAGTTCCTTGTTTCTGTATTTCTGAGATGCATATATTTCAGCATCATTAGTCAAGGATAGGGAAAAGGGTGAGAATTAAGCTTATTAGGCCTCAGGATGAAACTACATAATTAGCTAGTTTGATCAGTTGACACTTTACTGCCAATTTTCTCAATCAATCATATTTTTCTATTATGACAGATAAAAATTCAGCTTAGCTACATTTCAATTCTAGAGTTTTTCTTCATAAAAGGAAGTGACATCTTCCCTTTTGAATTGTTTTTCTAACCTTCATTCCATTATTAAAAACAAAAGTACTAAGAATTTTGGTAACCATGTAACTAGTGACACAGAGAAGATAAAGAGACCCTTAAATATTCAAATAATCCTCTTCCTACTTCAGAGAGACACTTTTTTTCTGTTTCTTCATAGTAATACACATTTGAGATTACACACTAAACAAGCGAGAAGCCAGAATATACAAAAGATAAACTTCTCATTTTCCAGCTATCTTCCTACAATTCAACTCAATGTTTTATTTTATGTTACGATTATCTCTGATATGTTACAATTTTCTCATAGACCCAAGGTCAAATTTTAAGTGTCTGATCTTATGGTTAAATAAATTATATTCTATAGAATATAATTCTAAATAATGGAGAGCATATGAGACGTTCAACTAAAAAAAAGTTCAACTCACTTGTAAAATAAATAAATCTTCAATGTAAAGACATGCAAATAGAATTACAACCTGTTTAAGGAGATATTTGGAGAGAGCAAAATAAATAGTTTATACACATTTTTATACATATATACTATCAAAACATAAAGAATAAGCTGGATTCTGGGGTGCATCCCTCAGTCTTGTCCATGTAACCCCACAGCTATTGATAGTGCTGACATACTGATAATTTGACTGAGGAACATCAGGTGTTGATGCTCAACTGTGAAGGGAACAGAAGGTCCTTTACAGAAATTCACAGAATGTACATGGATTAGAATCGAAAGGAGCCTCAAAAGGTCTTTGTGTCCATCCCTGTGTCCTTGACTGACTAAACATTAAGCTCTTTTAACAACTGATATGGTGGAATTTGAAGTCAGTAGCGTTAGAGATGTCTGACGATATGATTGCGAGAATCCTTTCTTTGCAACCTTTGCCCATCTCATGATTCTAAAAGGATGTGAAGTCCATTCCTATTGAAAATGTCAGGATGTTCTCATTGAAAAGTCTGTCCCTACTGAAAATATTCCCTTTTTCTCTTTGAGGAAAGAGAAAAAAACAAATGATAGTGCTCAAGTAAGCATGGAAGTACATGACATGTGTGTGAAAATGTGCAAAAGATATGTATGCATGTAGTGTGTACACATATATATTTTTTATTTCCCTTGAGATCCTTTAAACAATTCTATGCTTGCAGACATTGTATTCTTTTGAGCAGACAGCTGAAATGTTTGACATTTCAAAGCCCAGGAAGCATTCAGAAACTGCGAAACCGGTAAAACTGTCCCATAAATGGGCAGAAGGGGGCCAAGGTTGGGCCAAGTCTTCTCTTGCTGTCCATCCAGGACTGGCCCTCACTGTCAATCTTCACCCTGACGTTTGCCCTGGGGACGGGGGCAGAGGAGGACACTGAGAGCGCACGAACGGCTGCAGTTGGCTACTTTGATGAAACAAGGAAACTTGGATTCTGGGTTCTGTGGGACAATGAACCGCCTTCAAGGGTTGACAGTTATGCTGTGCGAAGTGCGTGTGCTGTTTGGCAAACTGGCTTTCGGTTTGGCTTGCTACAAAAAGAGCGGAAGGGGGAGCTGTCGTGGTTTCCAGTGCCCACAGGGCCCCCTCTCCTGGCCGCAGCGCGCCGGCCACCGCTAGTGCCCAGTGGGCGCGCTCCTGTCTCTGTGTGTGTCTGTTTGTGTAACTGTTTGCATGTTATCTATCTGTCAATCTATCTGTGAGACAGAGAAATAGTTCCCTCTCGCAAAAATGCCTCCGGCGTCTTTCTTGCTGCTGTCGCCCGCATGCCGGTCGACCGCATCTTTAATGCTGTCATTGCCACTTCATTACTATGCTTTCTCCTGGATGATTTATTTACAATTCTACAGGAGTGAGAAATGCGCGCCTATTGAAGCTTTCTGTCTGTGATCTTACTTCTTTGGAAGGAGAAAGTTAGTGGGAGGAAAGGAGAACCTGAAAGGGATAACCCATCCTTCAGATTGTAAAATGTAATGGTTAAGAGCCCAGGACCCCGGCTCGGACTGTTGGGATTGGAATCTCTCTCTGCCCCTCAAACTAGCTGTGTACCTTGGGCAAATTGTTTCTACTCTGTGCCTCAATTTCTTCATTTGCAGAATGGGACGGTAACAGCGCCTAGCTCATAGGACTGTGAAGATTAAATATACGTAAAACTCTTAGAACAGTGCCAGTTGCTGTGTGTTAGCTATTAACATCGTCCTTGGCTTCTTTCTCCGTGTTAAATTTAGAGAAGGACCATTCTGGTCAGTTCCCCACCGGTACGCCCTAGGTTTCGGCACAGAACCTTAACCCGCCCGCTCCATGCCCTCCGGGACCAGCAACCACCCAGCCACCTTTGCCCTCGAAGACCTGCTCTGGGACCCCCTCCCCAGCTGTCGTGCGAGCCACACCTGGGGGCGCACTCTGAAGGTCAAGGGGAGCAAAGCCAAACGATGCGCTCGAGAGCGCTGGTCCTTCCCTCTTCTGAAGAGAGTATTTGGGGTGTTTTCCTACCTGCCCCAGGTTTTTGCCCTTCTTACTGCCGCCGAAAGCCAGTCCTTGGTATGTGCCCGCAGATCGATTGGCGGCCTGTGCAGGCGTCTCCCCGCCCAGAGAGGACTTGATGGAGTTGAGTTTGGCCCGTGAGCTGCCGAGCTGTGAGCTCTCCACCATCAGCACCGCGGCCAGTAGTAGCAGGCAGCGGGACGAGTCCTTGCCCCGCATCAACGCAGCCATCTCCCGGCGAGGGGTACCCGGGGAGGCGCAAAAACCGGAGGGATACTGGCGCAAGGGGAGGGAAGACCCCAACACTGGGCCCCTCACTCGAGGCGCGGAGGCTCGCAGACTGTGTTCCCCCAACCCCACTTGTCTTCGGGGAACCAGCACCTTGTGAACTCAGTCTCACGACTCAAACCAGGAGCGACTACGACCCAAGAAAGACCACTTCTCCACCAGGGCAGGAAGTTCTGTAGTAACTGGAAGCAATCAAAGGCGAGGCGCCTTCTTGCCAAGGAGGCGTGACTCGAGGTACTAGAAGACCCAGCCTCACCGACCGCACCGCTTCCGCTGCTCTTTGCCCCGCACCTCCGTGGTCCCGCCGGGATCTCCGCGGTCCAATCCTCCTCTTAATTGCTCAGGAGATTCGCACTAGTTCCTTCTTCCGCCTCAGTTGCTTTTCTCTCCTCTTTGCCTGCCCTACCCTTTATGGACTTTGCAGGATTCAACCTTTGCAGGACTCAAGTCTTTCTTTTCAATGACAGCGGGCGCTAGAATGGGAGATCAGGAACCGCCCCCAGACCGGACCCTCCAGGTCTGAGGCGAGCCGAGGTCCCCCACGCGCGCACGTACAGTGGTCCCCCAAGCGCTGTTCCTCCGGTCACACCCTGCAGCCAATCGCTACCAGGAACGCCGCGGGGAGGCCCTGGAGCGGTCCTGCGCTCCGCGCTGTCTCCGTCTCTGCGTCTGCTCTCTCGCCGCCGCCCCCTGTGCTTTTTATAGCTTCCCATAATGTTTTTTTTTTCTCCGCCCCCAATTCAACAGTGACAAAGAGTGAAAACATTTCTCTCACCCCCCATGTTCCCGCCCTCCTCATTTCCCCCTGCCGCTTCCCCTCCTGCTTCTCCGCTTCCCCTCCCATCTTCCTCCACCCCACAACAACTGAGAAAATGGGATTCACTCCCAGGGGAACTAGAGGGCTTCTAATTCTCACAGCACCAGAGAGTGGAAGGACCTGTAGAAACAGACGGAGCGCAAATGTGGAGGTGGAGAAGAGCGCGCCGCCACCGCGGTTGGGGACCGCCAGCGCTCTTCCTTAGGTTCCCAGCCCCTCCCCAGCCCCTGACTCGGACAGGAGCACAGGAAAACCTCTGCAGAAGACTGAGGAAAGAGAGTATCTGGGCGTTAATACTGTGGTCTGTGTTTTCTCAAGTTGAGTTTTAGCCTGTGTTTCCTAGTGGATGTGTGACTGACGCTATGTTCGTGCGCCTGGGGTGCCCGACCGATCCAGTTGGGGGCTTTGGAACCGGGGAGAAGAGAACTAGAGAAGGGTTGGAAAGATGCTCCTCGTTTCCCTCCTGGGAGGCGTTCAGGACTTTCTAGTCTTGATATTCTCTGCCCTGTAGCCTCCTACGCCACTACACACGCAGCCTATGTCCACGTCTCAGAGGGTCTGGGAGGAATGGGGTGTCCCTGAGTATACTCGGAACGTTTGAACCTCACAGTTCCACCGGACATCTTTAGCATGCCAGGCAACTGCCCCTTTGAAAAGAGGAAATCCCAGACAGGAATGAACGGGGGCAGGGGAGCAGTTGAGTCCTGCCTTCCTCGGCTTCCTGCTCCTAGCTCCTGGGAATTCCATGGAAAGCCTTTCCTGCCAGACCCTCAGGCTCCTCAAGTCCCGTTCGCTTCTGCGAAAGTCCTAGGAGGCTCCAAAAGAGGCTGGGGCTCGCGGGCGCGCGGCGCTTGGGGGGGCCAGGGGCAGCGGCCTGGCGAGGTGCTGGAATACTGCAAGAGACAAGTTGTCCCAGGCAAGCTCCGGGCTTGGAGAGGTTTAGCCACCAGGAGCCAAGGCTTCCAAAGCAATGCAAGGGGTTGAGAAGTTTTGGAATTTCTCTTTCTAAGCCTTTAACGCCTGCGTGCCGAGAAATCGAGGCAGTGCAGCGCAACTTGGGAGACTAACTGGTAGGGGAGGAAGCTGCTCGCTCCAGTTAGTTGTATGCTAGAATTTCAGTACTTGGGTTCCTGAGCTTTCACACCCCATCCTGGCACATACCAGCACAGCATGTACAGGAGTATGCATTCAACATGTCGCTGATTGAGAATATTAGTGACTCCTTTCTTTTCCCTCAAAAAGGCCGAGTTTTAAAGTGTGATTTATAACTCAGTTCTTGAAGACAGCACCAGCCTCTGCCCTAATCTGTGAGTCTGTTTGACGTTGAATTCTCCATTTTCAGAAAGATTGTTTAAAAAATAAAATAAAATAAAATAAACAGCAAAGGGAGATTAAAACTTGAGAAACCCTCTGGCATGGTTTCTTATCTTGGATTGCCTCGTGCTTCCTTAGGATAGAAATTTTCATATTAAAAATTTTTTTTCACTATTAAAAAATACACTCAGGAATGGATTTGTAAGAACAAGCAGAGCATTCCAGGCACTAGTGGAGGGCAAGGAAACTGACCCCTACTATGTAAGTAAGAAATTGGGATTCAGAGCTTAGACTTTGCAGAAGATTTTCTCATCAAAAACAAACAAACAAACAAACAAAAAACATTAGAGAAATGGAGAAAATTGAGTTAGAAGTCTACGGGTTCGATATTCTTTCAAGAGTATTTTAGAGCAAAAGGAAAAAGAAAAAAAAACAAAACAAAGCTAACTATGTAGCAAGAAATCACTCTGCATCCATTTGAAAGGTGCGAATATCCATCATCTGCTGAAGAACAAACTCAGATGAACCAAGAGAAAATTTGAAAATATTTTGTCTATTTTTGTCAGTTCCCTTTCACTTTACTTCCACTCAGAATAGGATCCCTTCTAACTCTGATATGTACTGCTAAAAAGGAAGGTGATATAAAGCTCAGCGTATTGACTCTCAAGAAACCCCTTAACTTAGGGTATCATGATAAAGACATTATCTCAGAGGCTTACACAACACCTTACAAACTCCAAAAGCTTTTACAAATACACTTAAAAATCCAAATTTACATGAACTTTGCAAATAGTCTCCTCTCTATATAAAACAAAATCACACTATGGAATCAAATGCTAAAACATACACAACTACACCTTAGTCTGAAAAAGAGGTACAAATTAATTTTATTCATGATCCAAATGCTCTCTGTAAAATTGTGTAACAGACCAAAACAGAAATCCATAACCCATATGTAGACGTACATACATACACAAAATCAACTAACTGCACATAAACATAATCTTTAGATTACTGTCATAACCCCACATGTGTTTTCTCATGTGCATTTCATAAATATGAAGATAACAAGCTTCATATTTAATTGGAAAAATAGTTTTTTTTAATGCTTCTTGAAATAACATTATTAGAGAGGGTATATATGTACATATATGTATATATATATATGTGTATGTGTGTGTGTATACATATATATGTAACACTGTACAGAAGTGTATATATATATATAACACTGTACAGCAGTAAAGATAGCGACCCTTGTCTGGAAGAAATACCTCTGTGGACAGTTTTTTTCTTTGGCCATCCTTACCTCATTCTCTGCTCCTCCAGTTGTGGGTTCATTTTGGTTCCTAGAAAAACCACAACTGTCTCAGCAGTTGTTTATGGATCCTAGTTGCCTTCTGAATACTTAGCCCCAAGGTGAACTAAATATACACTACATCTCATATCCATATTCTTGTTTTCCATCTCTGGCTCTCTCCCTGTATTAGCAACCTTTTCTTACAAGTCTCTTTAGCAGTTCATGCATTTACTACATATTTATTAAGTTTACGGCCTTGAGGATACAAAATGAATAAGTCAGGGCTTTAGTCATAGAGAGGCTTGCAGTCCACTGTCAAGGCCATGCCTCACTGAGATCTGCTGTCAGTCCCTCTCAGGAGCTGCTACTATGAGCCTTCCTCTAGTTTCATCCACTACTGAATTCTGCTAATCTCAGTCTCTCACAGGGTAGCTGGAACTTCTGAGCTGGATTACATTCGTGTAACTTTGGGAATAAAAAAAATTAGAGATGACATCCCTCCCTCACAGAATCTTTCCTTTCCTCATAAGTTACACGAGCATTTTAATAGTGTACAGAGAGACAACACTTCTACATTTGTGGTTGAACCTGGAGAAATGATACTAGCCATGGTCATTTTAGGTTAGGAAGAACAAAAGTATGGTACCCTGGCAAACCTGTGAAGGGAAATTACTTTTTAGTAGTTCCTACAGGACCCCAAATCATCTTGTCCACATAGCATGAATATGAAAGACCTTCATATTGGATGTTCGAGGATTTGGAAAATATGGTTATATAGCTTTCCTTGCTTCATAGTAAACCAGGCTACCTGGTTCTCTATTCTAGCAGTACTCACACTTTGGATTTTATCACATGAGAATTTTATGTTTCTCACTCTGAAGAACAATAGTACCATGTGTTGCAGTTGATTACATTTTAAATAATTTGTAACAAATGTGAGCACCGGTATTCTGAACGTTTTTTTGTGTTTCTTGATAGGACTAATTTCTAGCCCAGAAATGAAAAATTGCATCCCCTATTTGGTCCCTGCCTTAGTTTCAGCTGTTAACTCTCTTCTGCCTTGATCTCATGGACAACAGGACCAGCTAATGAGAGAGAGACTCATCACTCACATTTGAAGCTATGTTTGACATAAACATGCACAAGTGAAATGGTTCAAGGGATTTCATAGTAAATTTGAGACATAATTGCTTAACCAATGGCTTGTTTTTTGATCCTTGACATATAGATCATTTCTTTAATACTTAATTTGCCACCCAAATGAAAAGAATTACTGAACAGGTCCCTCCCCTAGAGCCTGAACCTAATTAATAGCAAGTGTGCAAATAATACATTTAGAAACTCAGGTAGAAAAACTTCTACTGACAGGTGAGTGACCTCGGGTGTAACTGAAATTACAAGGAACTTCCAAATATTTAACACCAAATCTTACCTTTTATGATTCCTCTTGTTCTATCTGCTGCATATTCCTTCTGGTGGCCCACTTACTCCCACTGCTGAGCCCCGGTAGGCTCTTTGAAGATGCATCTTTGGAAACAGTACTATACTTGGCGGTGAAAGAGAAACATGTTTAATTCTTGAGAAAGTTCCTTAGATCTCTGTTCCTTAGATCTCTAGGGTTCTACAGAAGTCTCACAAGGAAGTTAGTGCTGCTGTGTTTTTGATAGACCCTCATGAGATAGGGCTCCAGCAACGTGGATTTTTAAAGGCCTGTTTTTGTTATTTTCCTTCTTTAGGGGAGGGTAGTATTGATTGGTTGGTTTTAATCAACTCTTAACTGCTCAGATTTAAAAGCCACGGTGAGTTGGGCAAAATAT